AATATTTAAGTGCAAGATTGTTTTACCGTCAAGATACCCCCACCCGCTGGCCTCCTAGCAGCGGGCGATTAACACATGCCCCTCCTGCTATACGGCGCCACGCAAGGTGAGAAGAAAAAGCGCGCCTTGTGTGTGGCGTTCGTTGGACGCGAGCAAAAAAAAAAAAAAAAGGAGAGAGAGAGAAAAACGGCGGGGTATGTTGTCGCTTCCCCACTTTATTTTATTTTTCTTTTGAACCGCATTTGGAAATCGGTGATTTGCGGTTATACACACCCCTTCTGGAATACGTAAAAAAAAAATAAACGGATACGGAAAACTACGTCGATATTGTTTTTGTTTTTGTTTTTATTTTGGCCTTGTTTTTGTTTTTATTCTATTTCGGTGTGTGTGTGTTTTTTCACGTCACAAACGGCGTGTGGTGGAAAGAGCAATAAGGACTGCCCGTTGGCTCGCACGCCTTTGGCGTTGCACTGAGCCCCGCCCGCCCCCTTGTCTTTTACATTGGCTGTGCGCGGCGGGTCTGCATCTAATTTAACTTTGTGCGGCGCAAGCGTCTCAGCGGAGGGCAAACGTGTTTTTGTAGGAAATTGTAGAAATAACCTGTCACGCGATGGGGGTAAGCAAAAGTAAGAGATGATTTTTTTCGTAGGGGTATCCCGTTTTTTTTCCTTGTTTGACGGGGTTTTGTTTCCAAAGATCCCGCTTTGGACGGCAGCGAGTGCAGTTTTTTTTGTTTTCTGCCACGTCCCTCCCCTGTCCTCAATAATCTTCACGCGGGGGAGTCCGGCGGCCGGTAGACGTCTTTTTAGTGCGTTTCCTTGAAGGGTGTGTGGGTGAGGCTGCTCGTGCGCCGGTGGCGTGGGGCCGAGCTGTGATCTTCTGTTGTTTTCCTTTCACCCTGCAGACAGAAGGAAGGGGGCCGCGCCCGGGCTACACGCTCGCCGTTGTTTTTCCGCAGAGCGGCCCTTGGCCGGGGAGTGGGGGGCCGGCGAGGAGCATGAGCGCGGCTGCGGGCCCACAACCGCCGGGCTGAGCCGCCTTAGCGCGCTTGCGACTTTTTGCTGCCTCGTGCGGGCGGGGCGCGAGGTGGGGGCGTCGGCGGCCACTCCGTGTGGGGCCCGAGCCCCCCGCCGGAGGAGCCCGGGTGTCCCCGGCGGCGTCTTCAAGACGCGCCAACCAAAGACATTTGGGGTCGCCCGCGGGGGGCGATGTCCCCGCGCAGCGCCTCCTCCCCCGCTGGCGGTGACATGGGGAGGAGGGGCTTCCACGGGGGGATGGCGGCGCAACGACTCGCCACCAGTGAGACGGAAGCTCCGCTTGCGACGCGCACAACAGTGCGCATTGGTTGGGGCCTTCTGCTCTCATTTTTAGGGCCCTCGGCGGCGCTGCGCCAGGAGGTCTGGGGGCGCGAGTTGCCGTGCGGTCGGCTGTGCCACCCGTGCCGTGGGACTGCCGGGCGGCGGCGGGGAGGAGGCCCCCAGCCCGTGCTTGCGGGGCGGCGGTGGAAGGCCGCGGGGCTTCGTCAAACGTCAGGTGAAGCTTAGGGGCGGCGCGTGGCGTGGACAAGAGGCGGCGCGCGGAAGGCCTCTCCGAGAAGCGGCAGAGTAAGGCAGCCGCGGGCGCGGTCCGCGTGGAAGCCGCCCGGGCCTATGAAGAGCCGCCTGTGCCGTACAGGAAGGGCCCCCTCGTCGCGCTCGCTACTGCGACGCAGCGCCCGCGGTCGACCACTAATAAAGCGGCATCGACGTCAGCCAGTTGAGTCCTGCTCTGAGTTCTCCATCGCCTCGGCGGTTGCGCGCGCGGACGACCTAGAGGATGAATGGAAGCTTGACGGGGCGAGACAGCAACAACAAAAACAACATGGAATGGG